TTTTTAAATCTGTTATGTTTGCTCTAAACACAAAATAATGATACAAAATAATACATAGTTGAGAAAAGGTTATTTGTTTTTCTAAATGTATAGTTYAAGGATGGGCAACTGACTGCCAGTGGACCACAACTGGCCTGCGGGTGACTTATGTCCCCTTGAAATTGTTTCYCCTTCCATCATGTGGCCCATCCCTGTTGTTGAGGTACATAAATAATTTTCTGAAGGTTTAATAAAAGTTTGAGAAACATTTTCTTTACATACAAACACATTTCCACATGCATTCTTGGCAGCAGGTAATAATAAACGCAAATACTTATCATGTAAGCAATAGACTGTGGGGAGTTTTCAGAATTATTTCATTTGAGGCTTATTCAAAGTGTAACACTTTGCTTTTCAAATTCACTGCATACATTGGGAAACACAAAATCAAAAGGGAAACACTAAAACTGGTCTGTATTTTACAACCACATCTGACATCAGTGTTTGAATATATCACCGCTAACCCTGTTCCACACTCTAAAATGGCACACTCACAAATGATTTCCACACAAGGGTCATGACAGAGACTTTCTTGAACTTAAGCCTTATAAAGCCTCCATTTGCGCCAGMAAACAGTTTATTTTCATTTCTGTTCTATTATCCAAATGAATTCCARTGAGTTTAGCACAAAGCCTTAAAAGCTAACCACGTATGTCCTTCAGCCTTTTGTTGAAATATCTTTGTTATTGCTGCAGTGCTAATCTGGCCCRTCCTTCATCGTTAGCAGTAAATAAAGATGCTGATTATTGCAGAAGACGTTTCACTTTGTAAAACACTTTTTCCTCCATAATATGTAGTATGATTGAGTTCCTTGGAGCCAATGATAAGCTAGCACACATCTGTAAATACAGAATGTACTTACACATACACAAACACACAGCCTCCTCCCACCGAGCCAGATGCTGATGGGAGGCTGAAGGATTAGCTTATCAAGTTCTCACAGTGCACTTTATCTGTCTGATCAATGATTTCTTTTTTTTTTTCTTTTTTTTCTTGTCTGATCAATGATTTCAATTGTTCTTGGACTGCAGCCTCGGCAGTGTCTTTGGATGACCTATTGACCAGATGGTGTACACTAAACAAAATGCAACCAAGCCCAAAGCAGTGAGGGGTCAGAAGAATAAGAAAAAAAACTGAAAGCAGACCCATTTTCAGTAAGACTATAATCTTTTATCGATCGTAAGTGACTACAGAAGAGAAATAAACCCATGCAGGCTTTTTAACTCTGTTTGTTTGTTTGTTTGTTTGTTTGTTTGTTTGTTTGTTTGTTTGTTTGTTTGTTTGTTTGTTTGTTTGTTTGTTTGTTTGTTTGTTTGTTTGTGCTGCAACAATAAAAAATGGCCTCAGAATCAGGCGAAAGCTCAAAGATGGAATGTGGGCGAGTGCCTGAAGTGATGCCTCTGAACCTTATACTATATGTATGTGACTTATTTAAAACAGAATAGAGGGGTGCTTTCATGAGTTTCAGCTACTTGAGGTAAATGAGTCAGAAAAAAAACCCACCGTAACTTTAGGGTAACCCACAGGATCCTTTAGGTAGGGTTCGTATTGGCTAAGGTAAACCGAGCAGGCGGTGAGCGGAGAGTCCAGAGCCACCTACAAAGAGCAGAGGTTTATTAACACTGAAAAAACTAATTCAGATTTAAATTTCGATTTGCTTTCGTCATAAAAATACCATTTAGATATCTAAGATTTTTTTTTATATTCACAAAACAAATTGCATGATTATTAACATTTTTAGATAATTCAGGATGTGATTTATTTTACTGTTTAGAATCAATTAACGTACCATTTTTATTTAACCTTAATTTCACCAGGCAAAACAATGAGAACATTTCCTTATTTACAGTATTATACTGACAGGATTGAAATGCTTAAAAGGGGGAGGTGGGGAAAGGGCAACAACATACATATATAAAGTGAGCARTGAGTTTATTCTGTAAAACGATTACATGACTCCTTAGAAAGGTCCTGTGTTTAAAAGCATGAAATGAAATCAGTGTTGAGATGTAGTATACTTTGATAAAAGTTCCAATCATTTGCAGCAGCAAAACATAAAGACATAAAGTCAAATGAAGATTTAGTTTTAGGAATTTTCAACTTAAGTAAAATGTTTTGAGGAACAAGTATTTTTTCTTGAGGGGTATTCTTGTTTTTGTAACAAATTTAAACAAAATAGAACTTAACGCCAAAAGTTGCTGATGTCCCCYGTCATGGACGGACAGACAGAGAGCATTTCTATGTCCCCTGCCTCGGCAACATGGGACAATGAAGAGGTGAGAGGCAGAGTAGGGTTTTGTAAATGAACAAGAGCCAGTGGGTGATAGGACGAGACTGCAAGGACAGACAACTAACCTGACAGTGATGTGTTTTATTTTAGGCATTTTGTTTAAAATCAAATGACAGAATGATAGATTGTATCCAGTATTTGAAGACTTCCTTTACAAGCATGGTAATAAATTAGGTYACCATAATCAAATAAAGGAAGAAAACACATTTCAACAATGACTCTTAGGTGAGGATGYAAAAATCAACAGTTTCTGTGCAAGAATTCAAGTTTTGCTTTGACCTTAGTTTGAAGCATTGTAATGTGGTGACAGAAGGACTGTCTAACCAGATTCCCAAGTACTTGTACTCTGTGACCTGCTCAAGAATACATCTGTAGTATTAAAGGCCAAGCTTGGGAGATTTACATTTTTTTACAGTTAAACTTCTTGGCATTCACAGATAATTCTGAATTTGCAAAGGTGTTTTGAATAGCCAAAAAACTTTGTTTTACAGAGTGAAATACTGTTTCAGGGGAAGGACCAAAAGCATACAAAATGGTGTCATCAGTGTATAAATGTACGTACAGCGCCTTTACTAACAGTTTGTGGAATATCATTAATGGAAACAGAGAGGGGCCAAGGATGGGYCCCTGTGGCACACCTTTAGTAACGCAAAGAAAACTGGAACATTCAGAGTCTATGTTCACTTCTGTGTACAATTTTAAAGATTCTTAAGATATTTCTATAGTACAGTTTTTGCACAAATTTTGCTGAACATAGACGCTACTTCACAAACACTATTTTAGCTAATGTGGGTAATTATATAACTTTGCACTAGTCATTGCTTTCTGCTTTAAAAACTTGTTGCTGCCTTGCATGTCCAACTTTTAAACAATAATCTTGTATGATTCATTAGCGCTCATACTTGATGGTGAACATGATGCTCAGCTATTACCCCATACCTTCAACAATGACTAATATAAAGCTATTTTTATATTTGCTCTTTGCTTTGCCATCCATCTTAAATTAAGCTAAAGCCAAAAATTGATTAGTTGTGAATGTATATTCAATGATTATATTCCGAAAGTATACAATACAGTATGTAATACAGTATGCCTTATAAGTATAATGGTTCAAGAGATGTTATGCCAACAGAAATAAGAGCACAGATACACATACATACATCTATGATTACATGATTGCCTTTTATGGTGGTGGGAAATAATAATGTGCAAGAATRCCACAAGGCTCAGTCATTGACTGTATTATTTCTGGAAAACAATTGAACATTCTGAACGTAATAGYAGGCTTTATGTCTTTAGAAATACGATTACTGATCTGCCCTGAATGTTGTCTTTAGGTGATGTACTCACCAATCCTCTGAGGACAGTAAAGCCCATGGCGCCTAACAGAAGCACCACCAAGATCAGGTCCAAGGGACGCCAGATTAGCTTCATGCTCTGAATGTTGTGGGCCTGTGAGTACAGAGCTGGTTAGTCAAGGTTGTGGTTTTATTATTATCAGCCTCAGAATAAGAGAATCAGGTCCCTGGTTCCAAGTCTCCAMAGATGCAAAGATACATTAGTCCATTAAAACTCACGCCACTCTGTCACATTAGGTCTCTGAAGTCAAAGACAGACATGAAAACAAAGACTGACACAATTTTAACATTTAAATGGATAGAATATTGCCTTACAAAATGAATCTATTATCTGCTGAAAGTATTATTCTCRTTAGCAACAATATATTCCAGTTTGATTCTTTGTAACAATGTAAAAAATAAACATTTCCTATCAGTTTGTTACCCGGACCATTTAAAGTTTCTAGAAATTATATATGAAGAACACTGATAAATATGTGTTTCAGTAGTTTTTTTTAGAAGAATAAGAAAATTATTTAATCGTGAATTAACCTTTTCATTTCCTGTTTCTCATAAATTACATTGACTCATCGTTATAAGGCTGAGTTACATTCACTGTAATGATGTTGAATTYTTGTACTGATTGAACACATCAGTAAAAGCTTTTCATGAATGCGTTGGGCTCACATTGTATCCGCCAATCAGTGGTCTGTCCTTGGGCCGAGTGAAGAGTGAAACAGCACCCCACACAGGCATCAAAAGAAAGAGGAAGTTGAGCCAGAACGCTGGACGGATCTCTGACCCATATTTACCTGCCAGAAACACACTTTTCATCAGCTTGCAGTCAAGCATTCAAATAATTACTGTACACATGCCGGTGTAGCTCAGTAATTAAGCTTCCTATTGAAACCTTTGTAGAAAAACATGCACACATACAGCACAATTTGCACAACAGGRACACATCGCCTGCAGATTAGTTTGATGGTGTGACACTTATGTATGCAGTCAGGAATGGCAACAACAGATGCTCCAAGTCTGATTTGTGCTTTTGTTCTGCAGGTTGAGTTAGCGGGCTGAACTGTGACACTGATGGCACACGGCAGGACAGATGCTTGCTTGATTAAAGCTCGTCAATATGGAACTGCTGGAAGAGGGATTGAAGATTAATGGACTCACCTGCCACTATTCCAGTAATAAACACACTCATGTTGGCACACAAAGAGCCAGCCCAGAACAGGCCCAGGTTGCGGTAGGCTCTCCTGGGGAAGAAATAAAAGAAATACAAGGTGAAAGGTTACAGAAAAGGCTCTTTTAAGTGAATGAAATAACCAGGAGGTGGTATTTTATTGAAGTAATTAAGAACTGGATGAAGTTTAGAAGGCTGGTTAATATTGTTCCATGTATATCTACATACAGGCAGTTTCACTGTGGTATAAAGCAAGTAAAACAAGCTTGATTTGACTTGACCAAACTTTCCAGTCACCCACCTGTCTGTTATCCTGTTGATCATCATCAGGTACATGATGAAGTGGGCTATGCCATCCCAGTAACACATCATGATGCCATAGGCTGTCCCCAAGTAGGGCTCACCCTGAAACCGAAGCATACACTGAGACGTCTAATGCTGATGACGAACATTTAGCTCTTTCTGTTTTCCATTTGGGTGTAGAGCCACAACTATGGGACTTCAAGTGTAAAATAACATGTTAATAAATCTTACTAGCACATTTTTAATCAGTTTTTTAAAGTGAGGGCCACCAGGGGGCGCTAGGGGGACCTCAGAAAGCTGGAGGGACGATAAGAAAAAAAATACAAAAAGTACAAAAATGTATCCAATAAATGTTTGAAATCATTATCATAAAACTAAATATGTTTTTCAATCATTATTACAAAATATTTATTATAATAATATATTGAAATTTTATTTCTTTTGTTTTGTTCCTATTCTCAACAGTTTGTTCAAACGTTGTTATTCAAGTGGGAATATAATACAATGTTTAAAACGTGTTTGCTAATAAGATTCAGTCATATAATTTAAGGGGAATGGTATTGAATACTAATGAAGTGTATTAAGTTGTTTGATTTTGAAGAAAGTAATAAAAATTGCCTTCAAATTTATCTCTCTTATTCTGGCATTTAGCAAGTAGACAAAATTTTGGTAATCTWAACTGACCGAATACAGGAAAAGTTTATTCTGATTTCATGTCGGTGTGAAAAAATGTATTTTTTATGGTGAATGTAAACTTCTGTTTTCAACTATCTATAAATAATGAAAACTCATTAGTGACATTTTTTAACATTTTATTTCACACTTGGTGTCCCATACTAAAACATAGAGCCTAAAACTTTTGTTTATGTGTCCACATTTAAACACATATTCACAAATGCATTTAGTGCACAAATACTAAAAGATAAACCTTACTGTCTTCTGGTAGAATTCCATGAAGCCAGAAACAACACCATCATACTCCAAGGCACTTATCAGGTCAATGATGCAGGTAAAAGAAAATTCTGCAAAAACTGAAGGCAAAGAAAAAAAATTAAGGTCAGATATTTAAAGATATTTTGTTTCAGATGTGCACTTTTTTGTATGTGTGCATATTTATGCATGCCATCAGAAGCTAGAGCATTTTCAAAACCTTATAAAACCTATGAACCTTATGAAAACCTTAGATTACCTTATCTACAATTTGATACAAAATCATCAATACAAAGACTACAATGTGTACAATATGGATGATGCAATACAATACAAACAATGCTAACAATCAGACTTAAAGACAATGAAACCATGTGGTACAGTATAAYACACCATTTAATGTAGGGATGTGTGCTTGTTTTTAAGAGGAAGACTGTTCACAGAATTTCAAGTCAAACCTGTGTTTAGTCTGCTTAGTGATGCTGTCTGCCATGAAAGATGTAAAGGGGGTATTATGTATTTCCAAGCACATAGTTCAATTCTGTACCACAATCAAGTGTTACCTTCAGTTGTTGTGCAAATGTTGTTTATATCAAAAATATATTTGATTTTCCATCATAGTCTGTCTAAACTTCTTGAAATTGGCCTCTGTCTCTTTAAGAACCTCCTACTATTTCTGACACTCCCACTTCAGCACGCCTTCACAACAATGCTTCGAGTGAGCGGTGATCTGTGGGGCGGGAGCTCCACTATAGACTGAGCTCCAGGGAGGGGCTATGTACAAATAGGCAGAGCTTTGTATCAGCAAGTGTTTAGGCAGCTTYACATGGCTAGCACAGGAGATTTAARCATTTGTCAAACATGAGTCAAAGCAACACTTTGGATATGTTTTTGATGGTATTAAACTTAAACTGATTAAAGAGTACAACTGCTATAGATGCATTTGAGCATGAAATATGTTAAGTTCCTGCATTGTATGTTGGTTTAATAAACATATATACATGCAAACATTTTTWAAATGGACATTTTATTACATTTGGGTAAGTGTGGCCCTCTGGTAGTGTCAACAAAAAGCTGTGGCCCCTTGCATCATGTAAGTTGCTTATCTCTAATTAAACGAAATAGGATAAACTACAATACCATGAGATATGATTTGATACAGTGTGAGTTGGTGAAATACAGTGCTAAATGATGTAATGTGATCTTATCCTGCGTTAGAGGAAATTTAGCCAATTCAATTCAGTTCAATTCAATTCAAAAATACTTTATTGATCCCAGAGGGAAATTAGGTAATGAAGCAGTTGATAAAAATAAACTTGTCAACAAGCAGTTTTGTCCACTTTGAAGTATCTGATAAAATTTGAAAAGATTCATTCATTCATTCATTCATTCATTCATTCATTCATTCATTCATTCATTCATTCATTTTAAAATTAGACTGCCAACACCTGAATAAAGTTTTTATTTTTACTGCACATATTTGGTTTGCCAGAGCAACTAAATTTCAAGCCTCATGGTTTTATTAAAATGCCACTGTCAAGTAAACCCCCTCATCTGTGCTTCAGCCAAAATGTCTGCTTTGAAAAAGGTTTAGTAAAACACACAAGACTGAATAATATA